CAGAGCCTGGCTCTACAGACCCAGGCTCATGGAGCTCATGCTGGGCGCTACGAAAAGCCGTGCAGGTGTTTGGCTGGAGCTCAGGTTGTGAGGCCTGGGACAGTTCCTCAGAGTCTGTGCTCCAGCCTGAGCTGCAACGGCTGCACTACTGTTTCCAGCACCCCAGCAGCCCGAGCTGGTAGAAGCAGGTTCTGAGGCGCAGCTGGGGTTTTGTGATCCATGGGCTCTGCTGACAGGTGGTCCATGGATTGTAATGGCAGGGGCGGCACTGGAGGGCTCCTTGTGGTTCATGAACCCCTGAGGCTCAAAAAACAGCAGGCTTGACTGTGATAGGCAGCATAGGTGGGTCCCCTGTGTATTTCACAGCATATTTAACCACGCTGGAAGGCGCTATACAATCCTCTGGGTCCCAGGAAAGCAGGGGCACTCAGGTCCCTGCTGTTCTAGGCCAAAGCATGCTAAGATCAAACTAGGCCATTGAGTGCCTGTGACAAACTCTCCTTTTTGAGAGGATGGTGGAGACAGCCAGCTCAACTCCATCATCAGGGCGGCTCTGAGCAGGCAGCTTCCCTGACGCCTGGCTCCCTGTATGCTTAGCCGCACTCACTGCTAAGCCTGACCCTTGTTGCTTCTGTTCAGCTGGGGAGCGATGAGATTATCTCGTGTCCTCCCAGCTGCAGGAACTCACACGCCAGAAGATGCTGCTTGCTCTCCTCCACTGCAGCTGGCTGAGCAGAGGGGCTGATCTGTCAGCTGTGGCAGGAAGCGCCATGGGTTGTGGCAGACGCTAACAGACTCGTTTTCTGGCTGTTTGCTGGGAAGTGTCACTCACACTCCTCCCGTTTGGCTGGCATTACCGTGGCAGCAGCCAGATCAAGTACTTTCCCAGGCTAGCGAGCGCTCCCCCAGGGAGCTACATTCAAAGGGTCTGTGCATGCGGCACAGCACAACAGCAGCAGGAGCTAACCATGGAGGCAGGACTAAAACCCAGACACTGAGGGGTAGTTTCTGGCATGTTGAAAATTACCCTTCTTGAGAGTCCTGCAAGCCTGGGATTCTAGGGGCCGGAGAAGGAGGGGGAACCAGTTGCTCTCACAGAACTTGGAAAATCTGTGAACTGGTAAGTCAGTGGAGCAAATTCATGCCTCAGTAGTTTGGCACAGACCCCCAGGACATGCTAGCCAGCGAGTGAGGCCCACAGCATTGCTCCAGCCTGATGCACTAGATCCCACTGTGCCCACCCTTAGTGCCACTCAGTAGCTAGGTGCAGCCCCTAAAGGAGAGGGTCTTGCAAGGGAGGCAGGCAAGTCCAGGCGGCACAGTGAAGAGGAGCAGAGGGATGATGCAAGAGGAACCCTTGGAATGACACAGAGCTGGGCTTAGAAATACCTGATGCTGTGTGTGCTCGGAAATGTGTTAGGGGAGCAAGCTGAGGCCTGGTCTATCACTGAAACGTCGGTCGCCCTACCTCCGTGAGAAACCCACACCCCTGAGAGCAGCCGTTCAGCCAACCTGAGCACGAGTGGAGCTGCTGCGAACTCGCCAGAAGGATTCTTCCATTGCCTGAGGTACGGCCTCATTGAGAGTTGCATTAAATACAGCAACAGGAAAACCCCCTTTGTCAACAGCATGAGGGTCTACACTACAGCCACAGCACTGGACTGGCTGCAGTGTAGACACAGTGTAAGCCTGTCTCTCTGGAGTTCCCAACTGCTGTTCTGGCCTTTGTGCACCTCCTGTGGGCCTGCATCCAGGGCTGTGGACCACTTAAACCCCCAAGGTATACGCAGGGCTTAATTGGTGCATAGGCCTCATGCAGCTGGTCAGCACAGGTAGATTTTTACCCAGATTTCGGTGCACCCCACAGTGGTTGCTAGGATCTCTCCTGACGATAGAAAGGAGGAGTAGAGAGAAGACACCCCCTCATCCCCAGCACCCAATGATTGGGGAGGGAAGACTGGGCCAGATCCTGAGCAATGCCAATTTACACCAGCTGCGGACCTGGCGCTGTCTATTGAATGGAGGAGCGGAGACCCACACAACAGTTCCAGTGCTCTCTTGTGGCATTTGCCTGGTGCCAGTGTGTCAATACGCAATAGTGCTCAGTCAAGATCATGCTGCATCATGGCCCAACAGTGCAACACAGCACCAGGACCTCCCACACAGACAATTTTGTGCATCTTCATTCGATAACGACCCATCCATCTCTCTAGTGAGTCAAGGTTGCACACCTCCAGCTTTGAGTGCCTCTCAGCTTCTCCTTCAGGCTGGCTTCCATGAGACATCTCCAGCTGGAGAACTCTAGAAGCTGGAATGTATCAAGAGGATTTTGGAGAGGGACCCGGTACCTCTCTCTCAGCCCTGGGAGAACTGACCCCATTAGCTTAGTTTCCAGAACACAAACAAAATGAAATATTAATGAAGAGGTGAAAATGACAAACGGAATGAGGGGGTGTGGAGACTTCACAGCTGGCTTCTTGTCGCTCCAAAGGATTCCTTACAACAGCTGGAGTAGCTCCAACGTGATTGAAACCAGCTGGCACAGAGCGGTTTTAGGATGGAATCTAATCCCCACAAGTCCACTAGGGATGCTCACCATCTCTGTTCTGACAAACAGCTCTAGGAACCAAGCACCAGCCTGCTCCAGATGTTGGCTTGTCCTGGAGATAGCCCTACCTGTGATGGGGGTGGGTCACCCCAGCCTCCTGTACCGAATCCACCCATCCTCTGTTGGCCTGGAAGCTCAGAGTCTGCTTTGCTTCTCTCTTAGAGCGAGATTGCCTGCAGAGGAGCGTCTCTCAATGTCATTGCACTGGGGGAATCAGCCCCAGTTCTCACTCCTGCTCGCTCTGGTACTGCAGCCTAGAGCCAACAGGGCCTCCAGAGGCCACTGGCTGGACACCGCGCTGCTGGGTACTTTCCAAATGCCTAGCCAGACAGGCGAGCGGTGCGACGCCGTGAGGCAGCTGCCATGGCGTCTCCTCCTGAAATGCAGAGGCGCTCCAAGTGTCTGCTGTGGTGGGTGAAACTCCCTGGTAGGCAGGAGCCACAGTGCTCTGACCCCTGCTTGGTGGCTAATCACCACACGGTTACTGGGAACTCTGCAAGATGCCTGTTATTAAACCTAATCACAGCACCCGCACATGCAGGCCTAGTCGTGGCCTCCATGGTAACCAAATGGGGAGGCTGCCTTTAACTAATTACTGTAATCATCCCTGGGAGCCTGCATAGGAAGGGTGTGGCCGGGGAGGGAGGGGAGAGAAATGACTCAGCAAGAGAGATTCCTTGATGCACAAGGTGTCCATGAGGTAACCCTATGGAGCTGTTGGCCTAAACAGGGGCTAAGGAGCAGAGTTCCCAGCATCCAAGTGTACATGAAAGAGGAATAGGCCTTGGCTAGTGACATAAATGGCTGTGGGACTCTGACACCGGCTGTAAAACAGCGGGTAGCCATGGCTGGTTAGTTTAGCTTGATTAAGGAAAACGGGGAGCATTATTTCATGCCAAAGCAAGGATCCTAGTGTATAATACACAGAGAGAGTCACCCTCTTCAAGGCCCATCGCAGGCTGCTGAGGAGTGAGGTGGCTGGAATAGTTTGTTGTACCTAGTGAGATTTCATTCCGCTAATAAAAACATTCTCCCCCTGCTTCATTCTGCCAGTAACACGTAGCATTGCAAGGAGGCAACTCTGCACACTGAGGAAGAGACTCATTTTCCACATCTTTTCTTGAGCTTGGCCACAGAAGCTGGGGGGGTTTGATAGTCAGTCAGTCAGTGAGACAATCCGGGGATAGTCAGTCAGATGCTCTGCAGCTCAGTGCGGGGAGAGAAAGGCAGACGCTTGTTAAAACCAGTGGCTGAACGGTTGGCCTGTCTGGGACAGCTGCCAAACCCCATTGCTGGGCACTGAGTGAGGGATGTTTCTGTCGCACAGACCAGGGTCTCTGTGGAGTTGCTCTGCTGAGATCCAGAAAACTTGTGTCACACAGTACTGTTCAGCAGCCTTTCCTCAGTGACAGCTGGATCTGTGCCCCTGACCCCGTACTTGTTCTAAAGACTCACCTGTGCCCATTATTTATCCGCAGCTCATCCTGTGTTGCTTGGCATTATCTGCTGTTTTAGAGCCTGCCTGCTTAGTGGGCAGGTCTCGCTGCCCCACTGAGGGTTGGGGACCATTGCTGGAGCCCAGTATTGCTGAGACACTATACACACTGCAGCCTTCCCACCCAGCATAGCTCCGTGCATCCGCTGGCTACAGAACTGGGCCCATGGTACTTTACAGGATACCTGAAAAGCCCGCAACACACACACACACACACTTCAAAGTTGTGTGTCAAGATCTGGAAAACACCTGTTAGATCCTGTCCAAGTGTCATTCATTCCTCAGACAAAGGACAAGTCAGATCCATGGAAGCTCAACGCAGTGATCCAGAGACTGGAGTGAGTTCCATCACTGAGTGCTGGCCGGCCCAGGAGACCTCCCGTTCACCCCACTGTCCCAGTGCATGCAGCAGTTCAGATTAACGCTGTGAGTTTTACTTACTATTGATGAGGGTTTGACCTCCCCAGCTCCCAGCATCCTGATTGCTCACAGTCTTGCCAGCTTTCAGCAGTAGCGCAGCAGGAGCAAAAGCTGTGAAATCTTGCTCATGGTCAAACTAGCCGAGAAGCTCCCAGCCAGTGGGGAAGGAAGGGGGCTCTGTAAAATCCCCCAAACAAAACCTGTCTTGTCTTGCTTCCCAAGCTGTAGCTCTGGGTTAGACCCTGGAAGGGGCATCAGTGGAGTCCTAATGGAGCCCTATCCAGTCCTTGACTAAAGAGCCTCAAGGAGTGTGTTCTAAAAACGGGAAGGAAATGGAGGCAGGATCTCCATGGCTCAGTACAGGAAGGACCCAGTGGGTGGGTGTGAGGGGCAGTCTGCTGGCCCCAGCTCCCTGAAGCTTTGCTCCAGATTGTGTACTTTCTCCCCCGGGCCGCTTCCCTGAGAAAACAGCCTTACCATGATGCCGGTGAGGAGACAGACACCTTTCCCACAGTATGTGTGAGGCACCATGTCACCGTAGCCAATGGAGAGGAACGTGATGGAGATGAGCCACATGGCACCCAGGAAGTTGCTGGTCACATCCTGCTGATCGTGGTACCTGCCAAGGAGATGTACACCTCAGTGTAGCAGGAGAGAACAGGAAACCAGTCATCTCACAGAACTCTCCCCCTCACCCCGCCCGGGGGGGGGTCTCTGCCAGGTCAGATAATGGTGCTTATGGAAATAGGGTCTTGTCTATCCACTGGTCCCCAGTGTCAGCAGGCAGCTGCAGAAGACACCAAGCAAGCACTGTCTTGTTCCAGCACAACCCATCCCTGCAAAACTGACTGGTCAAAAGGGCATTTTCAATGGCCTCAGGTTGCAGTCTTCCCATACTGGATGTCTGCAACCCTGCTTCTGTATGGCCTCAGGACCACATCTTAGAACCATGCACTGCCATAGCAGCTGGGCTTAAAAGATTACTTGCAGCAAGATTATGGAATCAGATAGGCGCCCACCCCTCTCCAGACTTAATTAACCTTGGCCTGAAAGCCTCTGGACTCACCCAGCATGAGACCATACTGCAAAATAGGGAATAAATATTATTAATGCAACAGAATGTGCCCCAGCTGCAGCAATTTCACAATTTCCTCATAAGAAACCCCCCATGGGCGCGCACACAGAAACACACAGAGCAAAGCCTCAGCGGAAAGATTTTGCTTTCAGTCAGCGTTGCAGTCACGTTTTAGCGAAATACCCTCCAGCTCCATCTGCACTGGGGCCAGGCTGCTGGGTAGGGATGTCTGTCTGATGGGGAAACAGATGTGACTGAATGGAGAGGAGAGAGGCAGGCTGAGAGCTGCTACTGCTGCTCTGTTCCCACCAGTTGCTCAACCTGTCAAGGTTCCTCATGAACTTTTCATTTACATTTGAACTCACAGCACAATGTTGTCTCCTGCAAACTCATTATCGCCACCTCCCTGCGAGTGATGCAGACCTCATGAGAACAAATTCCTTCCCCTCCTGACAGAACTGAAATGCACTTGTGTCAGTTTACACCTTTGATAACTTTCCCTATTTGGGCTCAAGCTGGCACGGAGACTGTCTGCATTATGGGTGTCTGACAGCAATGGCAGCTCGCCTCTAGTGTTCATGTGAAACTGGCCCTGGATTATGGATTTAGCACGCACATGCCCCCTGCAAACAACAAGCACAAACTAACAGAGCATGTTGGCAATTTCAACCCCTTCCTGTGGGTTTATACATCATTCTGAGCTTCTCTGGTTAGCAGCTCGGTCTCCAGGCGAGAGGCTTGTAAAACAACCCAGAGCGAGCAAATGACGTTAGTATCAACCCAATATTAATGTATTTTTTCTGACTTCTGTTCCTGCACCTACACACATGCACACCCGGCCACTGACTGAGGTTAGGGAGACTAGAGACCCAGTGTCACATTAACCAATGCCCCCTGCTCTGCTCCCATATCCTCCTGGCTCTTTCCCTGGCTGCCCCCCAGGTAAGGGGGTCAGGTTCCACTGCAGGAAAACTTATGCCCAATCCTGCAAAGACTTGTGACTGCGCTTTACTCGAAGCATGTGAGAATTCAGTGGCACTCCTAGCCTCAGCTAGTAACTCCAGGGAAACTTTGTAAGGTTTCCATTGCCACGTTCCATCCTTTGGACAAAACACTGAATTCTGGTCAGTTTCCTATTCCTGACAAGGTCAACAAATTCTCTGGCTGGCCCCCCAGAGCCTCAGCTGCTTCTCTTCCTGTTCCTGTACAGCAGTGAGGCCTGCTCCTCTGGCCCCCAATCTCTGCAGGCAGCTTGTCACAGGCCTCTGCCAGATCCTCAGGCTCAGTTCAGGCCAGGCCAGACCAGACCATCTCCTCGGCAGTAACTGAGCCTGTAACCTGGGGGAGATGAACTGGAACTGCTGGGCTGGCTTGGATGGTGTGATCCAGCAGCAGTAATGCATCAGCGTACACAGCAAAGGACTCTGGTCTGGTTACTGCTGGTCTCTTTCCCTGGCTGCAGATCCAGGACACCTTACCCTTTCAAACAACCTAGCTAGGTTTAAGATGGAGCTTGACAAGTTTATAAACAACATTCTATAAGGGGTTGCCTGCAACAGCAGGGAGCTGGACTCCATGACCCAGATGCTCCCTTCCAGGCCTATGTTCCAACTGCTCAAAAAACCAGAAGCTCCGACTAGTGAGGAGCGGCCTAGCCTGCTGACCTTGTGGGGCTTTGCACTGTCATGCCAGATGGCACCCCCAGCCTCTCGCTGCTCTGCCCCAGAAGAGTGTTCGAACCAACTGCCCTCTTCCAGCCAGTCTGAGCAGTGCGGACGAACTCCTAGTGGAGGAATACAATCTAGACCTCTCCAACAGAGGGCAGGTGGCTGAGATGTAAGCACTCCAGGGTGGAGTGTTTTAAAGAGGAGACTGGCATTGGTCTGCGGGTGGCAGAGGGCATAGCCCAACGTGCTGTTACCGTGATTGCTTTCTGCACAGGTGCAATGGTACTCGAGACTGGAAGCCACTTCCAACAAGCAGCAGCAACCTGGTGTATACGGAGCCTCTCAGAGGCACCCAGCTTTGTGATGCAGTTCCGAATAGCCTGGTTTCCAGACGTGATGAGAACCACAGCTCCTGTTGTCTTCAAGACCCAGCTGTGACTCCATAGTTTCCTTTGACTTCTCCATCTGCTTGCTGTGCTCAAGATGTTTATTTCCAGGCCCCTTTGGAGAAGAGGGGATCAGATGCTTGATGGGGTGCTGTGGCTGGATCTGCCAAGGCCTGTTTGCTTCTCCGGGGCGGGTTTCTCAGCTTCCTTGTGAAATCATTAAGGGAAAACAGATGGAGTTTTTGGCAATTTCCTCCAAATCAATTTGTCCAAGTTTCTCAACTCAGAACTCTCTGGACTATTTTATTATTATTTTTATTTCCCCAAGTCTCCTTATCTGGAGAGTCTAATGAAATATGCAAGCATAAAAAAATGTTGACAAGAATCTGTTTAATATCACATTCCCCACCCTAGTATTAGCATAGAGAGAGGTCTAGTAGTTAGAGCAGGGGACTGGGAGACAGGACTCCTGGCTGCTGTTCCCAGCTCTTGGTGGAGAATGTGATCTAGTGATTAGAGCAGGAGACTGGGGGTCCCAACTCCTGGTTTCTTTTGCCGGCTCTGCCACTTGGGGAAGACACTGGGCCTCAGTTCCCACAAAAGGGGAAAATGATATTTGGCCCCCCACAGGGATTAATGTTTCTCTGCAGTGCTCTGGGATCAGAGCTGGAAAACGCTACTGAAGTGTGAATTAGGAACAGGGCTGTTTGTTTTCTATATGGATGAGAGGCTTCTGGTGTATATAACAGTGCTAGTCAGTGCAGTCCCCTACTCCTAAAGTAGAGGATCAGAGGCAAAAAATGCCTGCTTTGGAGAAGACCAGACTTCCCCTCTGGGTTACAGACTCCGAGTTGCAGTAACAAAGCTTCTGGGGTGAAAGAGACCACAAGTCATTGGCTTGCCCAGTGCTACTGAGGCAGCCCAATGCAGGGCTCTGAGTGCAAGTCTCCAGAGTATTGTGAAGGCCGCATGCTCCACCCTCGGAGGAGGGAGCGCCTTGCATCATCTGGGTGGCTCTGGCTGATGCAGAGTGGTACTGACAGGCTGTAGCAGAGGGGAGCTGTGTTCAGCCCTCTTCCCTTGAGGAAAGATCACCAAGGTGCAGGGTCTCTGGGAGAAGGAGGTGGGAAAACCTCCATGTACCGAATGCTGGGAGAGATGAGGCAATGGTCTCAGATGATGCTGGTGGCTTCATTTGATAAAGCCTCATTTCCTGAGCTTGCCTGCAGCTCAGTGTCCCTCTCTCCAGTCCCATAGGAGCTGTTCTGAAAAGCACTTCTGAGAATGCTGACTCCCACTGGGCCAGCCAGCTATCTGGGAAGTCACATGCTGCAGTGTGGCTGACTGGGAAACCAAAGGATGTGGGAAGCCTCTTGTGCTGAGGGGAGTTGCTGAAAACAGCTTCATAACTTTTTTTATCAAAGTTAAAGACAGTCTCCCACCACAACGTGAAGACAACTGTGCCAGTTGTGACCCACCTGGGGATGCTAGACTAGAAAAAACAGACAGGCTCCCACCCAGTGCACAGCAGCACTCTCTGGGAACCAGAAGGAGACGGGATACTTGCTCTTAAGCAAACATCTAGGGAGCCAGTGTCTAGCTAGAGGTTATAGGAAGTCAGAAAGGCAGGTCCCAGAGGCCCCGGCTCGAATCAAAACAAGCTTCTCTCTTGCCATAGTATGTCTCAGATGCATAGATTCCAAAGCCAGAAGGGACCACTCATCATGTAGTCTGACCTCCCATGTAACACAGGCCATAGGACTTCCCACACTTCATTCCTCTTCGAGCTAGCGCACAGCTTTTAGAAAAAAACAGTGTCTGCCAACGACGAGGCAGTCCAGGAACGCTGCACAGACTCAGGGGCCGCAGAAAGACCCAGCCTTCCCGGGCTGCATTTGCAGAAGGGCAGACAGAAGTCACCGTTGAACCATACCCTTGAGGAGATCCCAGTGCCATCTATTCACCTCCCTTTCTCTGCACAACCAGTTACATGGGACCAGTGTGCAGCTGTGCCAGCTGTGCACTCATCTTGCAGTATCACAAAAGCCAAGTGTGCAGCTGTCGCATAGGAGACTCCAAGGTAAACCCAGGGGCTGCAAGAAGGAGTGTTGTCAGTTCAGTAGGCGGTGCTCTTTCCCCGAGCCACTTCCAGCTAAGGCCAGTTGATCTGTAAAATGCTCTGCCACCTTTCTGGATAAAAGATGCTATATAAACAGAAGATGGTGTTAGGATCTTGTACCCGGGAAAGAAATCCGCCAGCACACAGTCCTACCCTCTAGACTCAGCATGGCCAACAGCAGAGCCGTAAGCCCGGAAACCCCTTAACCTGAGCGAGAGGGAATAGTCAGTAAGCAGACTACTCGAGGAGTCCTGGGCTGGAGGAAGCAAGCAGAGTGCCACACTCAGCGAAGACAGTTGCAGTTCTCCCCAATACCTGTGCAGCTTGACTGCTCCGTATCACACTCCAGCACAGAGCAGTGCGTCTGGTCAA